GCTAGCAGGTTGGAGGCCATCGGTAGCAAGTTGGAGGCCATCGGTAGCAGTTTGGAGGCCATCGCTATTTACTCTGCTTGTTACTAGTAGCTACTTGCTCCTAGTAGTACGGCCAGGAGCCCCTGGTAGCGTTCTTGCTCCTAGTAGCGAACATTGCTAGTAAGTTCCTTTTGATGTGTCGGGCCTGAGAGCGATAGGCTTTGCAGTCGCTCACCTGACGGCGCAGTACGCGCAGCGTCGCTGGTCGCTCGAAAAGAAGGGTCGCCTCGCCGTGACGTCCCACCGCGTCTGCCATGACTAGTAGTAACAGGTGCCACGCTAGTAGTAACAGGTGCCTTACTAGTAGTAACAAGAAGCTAGTAGTAACAGGTGCACATCTTTGGCAAACAAACCTTTCCAAATCACGAAGTTGGAACGTATGCAAGCTTTTCCACAATGCTCACGCGGTCTGCCTTCTGAAGTCTTCTACGGGGAGTGCGCACAAAGTGATCCCCTCATGCCATGCGACATTGACAACTGCTGGATTGGGAACTTTGGACGCCTCTCCTCCTTAGCTTCCCGAAAGGGATTGCAGGCCATATTTGGACTCCCAGACCGAAAAAGCTTTGAAGACCACGTCCAAGTATGTGAAGGTGTTCTCTCCTTTGTAGCTCGATGTTGCTCCGAAGATCTCCATTGTGGGATCGTTCTATCCCATCCTTCCCTTCGAGTCGAAGAGCGAACCGCACTCCCGTCCGTGAGACTTCCTCGACACACGACGGAATCCCTGGCGCCTGCGAAGGCTGCCTCGATCACGGTGGAGGCCCCCATGTCCGTCATGTAGCAGTTCTCCACCCGCAAGCCGACGGGCGTAGAGGCTCGAACGCCTTCCGCCAGGGCATAGGCATGGCGGGTCTCCTGAGAGATCAGCTTAGCAGGTGAGCTGACATGATGATTTTCACCCAAGCCCACCGAAAAAACACACCACCCTACCAGCACAATGGCAGGTAAAGGGCTGAGGTGTCGTTCATGGAACATGAACAAACACCATCCACTTTCAGAAAGGCAAGGAAGAAAGAAAGGCAAGAGAAGAGGCTGGTCTAACAGTCCAAACACCTCCCCCCCCAAAAAAGGGAGAAAGACAAACAAAAAAACAAACAACAAACATATTTTTGCTTTGTCCTGTTGTTTTTTTGAGTTGAAAGACCTCGCCTCACACCGCTGAAAAAAGACACACGGGTCGTGTGGAGAGGGAACAGAGGAATTTGGCGCCGCTTGCCGTCCCTGTCCGTGGTGTTTGGCGCAGCGTTTGGGGACCCACCTCATAGCCTTCTTTCTCTTCATCGTGTTGGAAAGCTCAACTCCAACAGATCTTGGAAAAATGTCTGATCTCGCACGTTTCAGGGTCTTACTACTAGGAGCAATCGGACGCTACGAACGGGGCTCCTGGCCTTACTACTACAGGAGCGATCGGACGCTACGAACGGGGCTTCTTTGAGGCCCACCTCAGACTTCCTGGCGAGGTTCATCCAAGTCGGCACCGACCACTTCCACCATCTCTCCGAAGATGGGCCTAAGCGCAACAAGAGCAAACCTCTCCCAAGTTGAGCATCCGCAAACGGATTGGTCTGGAATCTTTGATTTAATACTTGGGTGCTTTCAAATCATTGCCTTTAAAGAATCTAAAGCTAAAGATGCTGTGCCAACAAGACTAAATTGACTAAACTAGATTCCTTTCAGCAAATGGAGTCCAAGATACAAGGACTTTTCTGCGCAACAGGGCCAACAGGGTGTGGTCGTGAGAATTCTTGTTTGAAACCTTGAGGTGTGGTCCTGAGCTCAAAAATCTCGACCACATTGGTCTGAAGGACCCTGTTGGATGGAGACCATCTCTCCATCTCTTTCTCTCCAAGTGAGCTGCTCTACCGGAAAGCGCTCACGCTCGGATGCTCGTGCAGCACGTGACACGGCTACACATGTGTGTGTGTGTGCTGGCGAGAAACAGTGTCTCCAGTGGTGTGACTTTCATTCGATGACAGGCGTTGCGATAGGCCGCCGTCGAGTGGAAGATATTCCTTGGGCAGGGCACGGACGGCATGGGGCACGGACCGACGGTGTGCGCAGAGTCAGGTCGTCAGGTCGACGTCCCACGTCTGCACCGTCCCGGACGTGGGAGGCCACGTCCGAATTGGAAGGACGAAAGGAAGGACAATGACAACGAATTGTGCCAAATTGGAAAATGAGAAGTAACATTGAACTAACCACATCCTGAACACAGTTCAAACGGGAATGGTCCAATGGTCCCTTGATGTCCCTTCTCCCGTTCTCTGCCTCACCATGGAGTTTCGGCTCAGGCTTCGGTTGTTTCGCCTTCTCGCGGTTAGGCTTAAAGGCGTGCAGAACGTTCACATTTGGTACCTGTTACTAGTAGCGATGCACTTGTTTCTAATAGCTTCTTGTTACTACTAGTAAGGCACTTGTTACTAGTAGCGATGCACTTGTTCTTCATGAATAACTTATGAACAAAGTCTGGAGACAAAAACCCGAGGTCAGTGACCAGAACATGGCCGATTGTAGTGACCGTCAAAAAGAATACGTCAGAACAGCACAGCACGTGACTCGCATGATGAGTCATGAAGAGAATCCGCCGAACACCTTTCCAGTTTTCTGGGTGTTTTGTTTCCCTTCATCCATTTCCAACGTCTTCTTTTGGTGCGTCCTTTGGTCGCTCCAACCACGTGTTGTTCCTTCTGGTTTCTTTCCTTTCCGTTGGCCGTTGCTGGCCGCGCGGCTTGCTGGGCCGCTTGCTGGGCGGCGGCTCTGGCGGCGGCTCGGAGCCCAACACCGCTGAGGTGACCAAGGCCTTGGCTGAGTCGGTCGGAGGTCTGCGAGAGCGCGTCGTTGGGAGGGCGTCGTTCGGGACAGGTTTCATTGTTTGTTCCATGCCCTGATGTGCGCGTCTCAGAATGTGGAGAGTATGTGTTGTAGCGCTTTCCCGAAGGTCCGACATGGGGCCTCCCTTCCCCCCACAGACCTATGTCGCATTGATTCAGAGGTCAGCATTTCACACACAATGGTGTCATATGGTCACATATGATCACCAAGAAATGCTTGGGTGAACCCATCATTGGCCTAAACACTCTCCGACGAACCCGCGGCAAACCCGATCCCGGAGGCGGGCGATTCTCCGGTGTCTGTCGAGATTTGCAGAGTCGACGAGACATACTGAGACATCCAATGCCGATGGCGTCATGGCGTCAGATGCGCGTTCTGCCCATATTGGAGACATTACTCATTGACTCATTGGTGGCGGTATCATTGTGTGTCTTGTTCTTTGTTGAGTGACTCTTTATCCTTCAACCAGTTACTCTCATCTGTTGCACACACTGAGACCAAACAAGGGTAAGCTGATGTAAGATGACGTCAGTGTCGTGATCGACACGACACGATCGAACGAACGTCGTCTCTTTCCGACATCGGCACGTCGTCTCGTCGCTCCCCGGTGGGCCGATCGCCGGCTTCGCCGCGGTTCGATGGAAATTCGCTTGGCCTGGCAACCGATCGGCAACGATAGGCCTTTGGTGGCGTACCCGGTGCCTTTCGGTCGTTGCCCGGTGCGGGCCCAGCGGCTGGCAGAAGGTTCGGGAACTTCCCGATGGCCTTCGCCTCCTCCAAGCCACCGATCGTGGGCCGTGCCGGCAGGGCTGCAGGTCCCAGATCCACCGCGCCGGGGCGTGGGGGCAGCCGCAGGTGGGGCGGGGTCTCGTAGAAGTGGCTGAAATGCCTGGGCAAAAAGTGGAGCACCATTGGAGATGGGACCACTTGCAGGTGTCCACGTTCAGGGTGAAGCCTGTAGGTTTGTGGAAAGCCATGGAAAGCCGAACACCTCGCAAGTTGAACCACTCTCAAGCGTGAGGGCCACGAGCGGGGTGAATGAAAGGTAGCTGGATGGGGGAGCCACAAAGCTAAGGACTGTTGTACCACCGTACCACCAACATCTTCTATCATCTTCTTATTCTTTCGTTGTGTCGAATCTCCAAGGTCGAAATCAAAGCATATTCTTCAGCCAGTGTTGCGGTACAGTGTTGCGGTGTTTCACAGGTCATGAGTGTTTCACACGAATCCTCAGGTGTGCCCTGTGGGTGCTGTCTGTTCTATGTAGAGGGGTGCTATTTTAAGTAGAGGATCTCATGTATATGATGTACATGTTTCCAGTGTGAGGGTGAGCCAGTAGGTTTGTAGAAAGCCGGTTGCCGGTTTTCAAGACGCAGATCCCTCCAAAAATTGGTGGAGGAAATCAAGAAAGCCAAGAAACGTGAGGCTCAATCACCTTTTTAGAACTCAGTAGTTGAGTGATTGGATGATCATCACCATCTCGGATACGGCAATGATGGGATATGACTGCCAAACCTGCTGAGCAAGCGGCTCCATGCTTGGCCAAGGCTGAGCGCTTGGCTCATTTAGAAGACCTTCAGCATCCACCTGGCGCAACAGGTCCCAGCACCAGGGTGTTCCACACATCCAAACAGAGCCTTTCTGCAACTCTGTCCACAACCGGATGCTACCAGCATGGCACTGAGAAATTGATACCTGAAACATGCACTTCTCCCTGCCCTATTTTGCGCACCTTTCTTCGCGCGTCTGTCCAACCACGGCAACGACACACGCACCATCGCGCACTGGTTGGCGCGCACTGGTTGGCGCACCCACATCAACCACTTCAGCATATTTCAGCCCAACAGCGTCCAAGGCACATATTGCAAGGATGCCCCAGTCTTCGAGATCTCTTCGGTACAGAGATCCTCGGCCAAACCTTCTCGAGCTTCCAAGGCCTTGGATGGTGTGGATGGTCAGTCCGCAATGCCTTGCTGACGCACGTGGAAGGAGGCGGGCCAGAAAGGCAGCGCAAAAGTGGACTCCAAAGTATCCTCTTTCGATGGTGTTTTGGCCCAGCAATGACATGGGTTAGGACTGTTTTGGAGCTATGAAGTTTTCTCGGCGGGGGGAGAAGGGTGATCAGCTGGTGCATGGAGAATTTGAACTGGAAGCACTGTAAGCTGTATGGCCGGGATACTGCTACATGCTTAGTTTTTGGAGGCCGCATTCGGCATTTGCCGGTTCACACCACCCACCTTCCCCACCCACCATTTTCCACCACCACTCCAAGCTACGCAAGCCCGCACCGCGATGGCATCCGGACCCACGGTGAGGGCATCGGTCAAAGGAGGCATCTTCTTGGCGAAGGACACCGCTGAGCTCTTCACCTGGGAAGGACCGCCGGAAACGAGACTAGGAAGGGACCGACCGACCGAACGAAACCCAACAGCATGGGTCAACCCTGCACCAAGTGGCCAGGCCGACCAAGCGGCCAACCAAGCTTCAGGGTTTGCGGGGAGTTTCTGCGTTTGGCACCAGCAACATGGCAGTTTCTGAAGGAAGTTGGAGTGTGCCGCCATCGCAGGTGGAAGTTGGTCGACGCTGACTCAGTCAATGCCACCCCCTACGTGCCAAAAGGGTTCCCATCGGGCCCAGACAATGCTTATCACACAGCTACAACTCACCGTGGAGCGTAGAAGATACGAAAGGTTCTGAGCCATCTTGCCATCCGTAGTCGATAACACTTCACTGAGGATGATCGGCCAACCCTTTAAACAAAACAAAACTATGGGCTCGAATGGGATGCAACAGGAGCTAGCCACCGCTACTAGGTTGAAGGCCATCGCTAGTAGGTTGAAGGCCATCGCTAGTAGGTTGGCGGCCATCGCTAGTAGGTTGGAGGCCATCGCTATTAGGTTGAAGGCCATTGCTTCTAGGATTGAGGCCATCGCTAGTAGGTTGGAGGCCATCGCTCTTAGGTTCCTAATGCTATTAGGTTGAATGCAACAGGAGCGGCACAGCGAAACCCGAGCGGCTGCCGTCAGCACATCAATGCGATGTTCGATGTTCTCTGCTGTCAGCTCACTCGCCTCACAAAGAGATTTGCAACGGTTTCCACGGATTTGCAGTGAAAAAGTGCGATGGATTCATTGAGATGGTTTGACCCTGCCAGCGGGCAAGAAGCGTTCCTTTGTTGGGGCGGCTGCTCCAGAAAGCGATTCAACACACCAAACCCTCTGAAGAAAGAGGTGGTACAAAAGCAATTTTGAAGATATGACCAACTCTTCCAAAAAGAAGTTGGTGGTAAAGAAGACGCCGGCAAACAAGATTGCCTCTATCATCCCTATCTATCAACCAGAATCCACTATTGACATTGACATCTTCCTGTGCCTTGCTCGCCACGCTTTGCCAAGCCCAAGCCAAGAGGAATAGGATTTACCCTGCCCGGCACCCTCCCACCACACCCCACCATGCTCTGCCCTCCATCCGCCTTGGCTGGGAAGGAGAGGTTGCGCAGCAAACGTCGAGCGCGCTTGTGGGACGAGGTGTGCAAGGTTTTTCGGTCCGTCTTCGGCAGCGACTTCAGGGCCTCCAGCAATGACAAGCACATGCTAGCCAAGGAAGGGAGGCAAAAGGCATGATTTCTAGAACATGCTGCGAAAAAAGAATGAAACTGCTTTGGATTTTTTGGGGAGTCAGAAAGGCTTGGAAGCACAGGTTGGCCAAATTTGACTCAGCACGCGGAGGCTGTGAAGTCCACCATGGTCCACCATGGTCCAACCCCCTTCACATGGAACAAACCGAAAGATCTCGTGCATGTTCACCATTCCTTGGCCCCAAGGGCGTCTTTTTGGTGTCTTTTCTTCTGGCACATTCTTTCCACACCTGTTCACCGCATGCGCATTCTTTCCGCGCCTTGTCCAAGCGAGCTGCCTTGGAGAGGAGGAAATCCACCGTCTCCAACGCACCCGTCGACTGCGTCATGGCAGTTCCGGGTCGACGGCGCGACGCGCCCGCGGCGTAAGCACGCGGGCGCCGTGCGGCTTACGCGTCGTGCGCGGTCGACATCCTTGAGATCTGCGAGGGAAGGGCGAGGTGCAAATGCCCTGATGTGGAGCCCTGGAGCAAAGGTGGGTGGAAAGACTTTTTCGAAAATGACTCCAGACTTCTTCAGCCGATGACAGCTCGGACGGCACGATGGCACGAAATGAAGAATGAGGAATTTGTATGGAAACTTCAGCAAACGTTAAACAACATCAACGGTCTCTGATTGAAGAGCCACTGCAAACCGAGCCGAACACTTGCTCCACAAGAAAAGACCCAAAGTTGCAGCAGGGGTGCCAGGAGATCGTTGAAAGTCGGGTGAGCAAGCCTGGAAGCCCAGAAGAACGCACCTTGGGAAGCCTTTGCTCCTTTCTCCCATTCGTTTGTCTATGTTTTTTAAGCCTTCAAACATCTTTAGACGTTAGATTCTTGGGAACACGTCAAGAGCATGTCTATTATGTTATATATAACTAATAAGTAAGTTCTTCCTACCCTTCCTCTTCCGCTCCAGGCCATCAAACTGAGTGCCCCAGCGCATGGTCCGGGCAGAAAACCACACACATCAGACCGTGCGGCATATCCACACGGTCGGTCCACCTGAGTCTGGGCAGGGAGCAGCATGTTTGAGTCCGGGCTGGGGCACCTTTTTTGGGACCAATCCAAACATCAGCTCGCCTGGCTGGAGGCCATCGCTACTAGGTTCCTTTTGCTATCATTTTTGGAGGCCATCGCTACTACAGTGGTTTCAGAGGTTCGATGGCACAACCCCCAAGAGGTGGTCAAAAATGGGCCTCAAAGACAACCTCTTGGGGGTACAACACCATCGAACCTCTGAAACCACTGTAGTAGCGAAGGGCAAACATCCGAGTCTGGACCGATTCTTTCCCCCCCCACGCAAGGTCCACCGTCGACATCTCGACCGCCTGGAGCTCTCTCTGGGCTCCCGAGCCAGCGCAGGCCATTGTGAATTCCCAGCTGAAAGCCGCCGTAAATACAAGGTGCCACCTGAGAACAAGGAGAGCAAGAGCAAAAGGAGAGCTGAACCTTCACAAGTGAAAACACGACTTGACACGATCCACGAGTGAATCCATAGAAAGTTGGTGACGACGACGTCAGTCTTCTCAGCAACTTCGAGGTCGGGTCTGCTTGAGCCCTCCGTTAGCTCTGCTCCCTTGCACAAGCACAGCTTACAAAACTCAAGAAACATGGAGCTCCAAATTTTTCCAGAATGCCTTGCCAGGCTAGGAGGTGTTGATAGCGACATCTGAACACCCAAAACCGGTGACCCTGAGTCCTTCCAATAGACACTCTCAAAACCACCTACACACAAATCAAACATCGATGATGGCCAGTCGGCCGCTCCAGCCCGACGACTCGCTTGGGCACCCCTGACGTTGTCGGGATGCCCCTCAATGTTCGTGGCCTCAGCTGGAAGCTGACTCAACGAGGACTGCGAGGAGGGCCTCAAGTGAAGGCAATGGAGGTGGGCCCGATGAAGGCGGTGTGGCGGAGAATTTGTGTCCAAAATTCGAAGCCTAGACTCTAGACCATCCCCCCACAACCATCAGGCCCATATGAATAACACACCCAAACCTCCAGGTAGCTGACACATCTGCTCAGATTGTGACATCCTTAAGCAGTGACGCGGGACGAAACCCCAAAGACTGGGAAGCTGGCGATCTGCAAAAGTTCTTCCTCATTCTTGACCTGCCATTGGGCCATGTCAAGCATGGGTCCACATTGCATGCTGTCTTCCTAAACACTGGAGGTCATCTATGGCCAAATTCGGCTCAGTGCCCGAATCTGCCAGCAGTCATCCTGCGTGGCATCCTACGCTTCGACTTGGTGACGAGCGAGAAAAAGAAGGGGGGGGCCGTTCCACAGGCGATGGAGCCGGGAAAACCGATGACCATCTTGTCCAATCGTGCAGCCACAGCGATCCGCCAAGCCACATGGACGGATCCACATGGACACAGCAAGGATTGGTTTGTCACACGGCACACGACCAAGCCATGTGTCCGGTCGCTGCACCGGACGACGGTCGCTTACACGGCGACCGTAATGGAAGTCGCTGAAGCGGCTTTGGTGGGAAAGGAACCAACCTTGCCTGCAAATGGACCAAAACCGGTTTACAGAGTCTACATCCGAAGGGAAATAAGATGGGTACTAAGATGGGTTACAAAAGTTTTTACAGTTCAGTCTTCTCTGACCCACAGCCTCTACAGCCTCTCATGTCAAGAGGGTAGAGGGCTCTGTGACGTGGAAGCTGATCTTCACCAAGGATTTTTTGTCGTTTGCGGATGGTAACAGGGGTGGACATGGAGATAATTCAATAGAGTTAATGCAAATCTAGTTACAGTTATTTGCATTTCTGCGACAAAACCTGCAAAGGAGGCTCAGGCTTTGAACCTTCCGCAAAACTGTGCTTGGAGTTCATAGATGCAAGAAACGGGCAACCACAAAGCCATGCCAACGTCAAATTTTAAGTGGGGGCACCTTTGTAGGGGCACTACTGATGCTAGAGGATTCTGCTTTTCATTCCAACCATCAGAGGGGTGATGTTCTCTCACACCTGGACGTTCGGTCAGCAGATCGCTCTGTTTTCGGTCGGGAAGAGGTGGCTCGGGCGTTCTTCGCAGCTCACTCAGCCAGCTTTTTGATCCTGGCGCGATGTGATTGTTGGCCGACAGGTCCTTGCAGTTTTCTTCTGATTTATATTGAGGGGGCGCCTACAATGTATATAGGTGTTTTCCTTTTGAATCACAGCCAGTGCAGGAATTGATGTCTACCTAGGCGTTTTCACCATGATGGCCCCAACTGGTTGTTTTCTGTGACTCTCGGCCGATGTTCTCGGCCGATGTGCCTCACGTTTTTGACGCAAGCGAGCCATCACTTGCATCATTTCGAAGAACCAAGTCCCATAAACAATGAAAAAACGCAACAACCTGCTAGCCGTGAGCAGTCTTCAATAGGCCTGCACAAGAAAACCTTGAGGGTCCAAAGAGTAAAAGGAAATGACAGCACAGGAAAGGAAAGGAAAGGAAAGGAAAGGAGGGAAGAAAGGAAGGAGAAAAAAGAGGATCCAAAGGTCAAGAGGAAAAGGTGTAGGTGTAAGAACAATGAAAGAATATAGCTTTAAAGAAAGCTTCGTTCTCTTTTCGCGTCCGTCCCGCCACTGTGCTGCGACCTCGAAATAGCTGTGATCAATGACCTCCACCTGCACCGTTTGCACCTAGGCAATCGAGAGCCCCTGGGAACCTCTACTGCGAAGCTGTCCACTTCACCATGAACCGACGTATAACTCGGTCTCAAAGACCAACTTATTGTTTACTAGTAGTAAGAATGCTCCTAGTAGCTATGCCAGGAGCCCCTAGTAGCTTCTTGTCACTAGTAGCACGAATGCTCGTAGTAGTGTATAAGGCCAGGAGCTACGTTGCTCCGTTCGTAGTGATGCCCTTTACTATGAAAACGAGAAATCGGAGGAACGATTTCAGGTGTGTTCTTCGAGGATAAAGAAAACCACCTCGGTTTGGGCGGTTTGGGCGGCTCTCGGTGTGGCGGCAAAACCTTTCGCCGCTCTCCCTCTCTCCCTTTGTCTCCCTCTCTCTCTCTACGCGCTCCGTTAAACGCTCACGAACCCCCGAGCGCGAGCTTTGAAAGACCTTTGCTCCGTTCGTAGCGTCCTTGTTCCTAGTAGTAAGCCCCGGAGCCCCCGCTTCGTAGCGTCCGACCGCTCCGTTTCGTCGCTTCGCTTCGAAGCCGTGGAGGTCGGTCCAGGAAGGTCGGTCCGAAGGTTCCGCGCCGCTCATCCGTTCCCGGCGACCGCCGCGAGGCCACCCTTCGTCGGTCCAAGCGACCAAGGTGATGAGCCCCAAGAGGGAAAAGCCGATGCTCAACATGAAGACCTGTACTGATGGATCGCTGCAAGTGAGTTGTCAGAATGAGTTGAGGAAACCAAACCTGAAAATACTGCCACCATCTGGGATGGTATCATCTGGCACCATCTGCTTCTCGATTCTGCGGTGTCAATGACTTGCGCTGCCCACACAGGCACATTCGTCTCTTTGCTGCCCCCCCCACCAGCGGGATCAGTGGTTGGATCCCCGAATCGGTGGTTGTGGAATGACCTCACAAAATCGACGTGTTTTGCCTCACAGAATGACCTTGCCTGTGACAGTTTGGAACTTGCCCAAATCCGATTCCATGAAGCACCAAGAGCAGTTGCCAAACACAGTGGACAGTGAAGAGAGGTCACAAAGCAACGCAGTTTAGGAGGTCTAAGGATCAGGTAGCTTCATTCCGTGTGGCCCCCCCAACCTGTACGTCGTGGGGTGGCCGGGTGACTACTCACGCCAAGGAGCCCCGGAGTATCCCAACGACGGCGTCGCCAAGAAGTACCCGACCACCCTGAAGTCTCGTCCCGGGCTGCTGGCTTCGTCCGGTCTCGTCGCATAACACGACATGGCATGGAGGTCATGCGTGTTTTTGGACTACTAGTAGTCATGGCCTCCAACCTACAGTAATTGCGATGGCCTCCAACCTTAAAAAATGTCCGAACGCTACTCTTTGGGTGTCCATACATGCCTCAACAACTTGGTCTCTTTCGGGATCAAAAGCATGTTGCTCGACGCACCCACTATATGGTGTGAGTCGGTGCTTCTTCTGATCCAGATCTGATGAATACCTGGAGTTGATCTTGCCAGCCCCAAAGTCATCACGAGCAGGGCTGTGGTCGAAACCCCAACCAGGACCGCTGATGGATTCCTGAAACCCCCAAATCGTTGCAGCTTGGCAGGAGACACCTCTGTGCTATGCCTGCGAATAAGCTCCGTTCATAGCTACCTGATGCTACCATAGGCCCCCAAACAAACTCCGACATCCAACTCCCGACTTCCCCGGTGAGTACCCAACAGGGGGCGGACCTCCCGAGTTCCCCTGAGCACAGCTCCTTTGGACCATCACTGCGCTCGCTCCACCGATGCCCAGATCCCACAGAGACCCGAGACCCGACGTGGATCGAAGGGTGTGACTCGGG